GGGGGGGGGGGGGGGGGGGGGGGGGGGGGGGGGGGGGGGGGGGGGGGGGGGGGGGGGGGGGGGGGGGGGGGGGGGGGGGGGGGGGGGGGGGGCAGGATTCACATGAACGTACATGAACGTGCAGCCGGACCTTGATGAATGAATGATGAATGATGAATTTCGCTTATTGCTCCTTTAAACTGCTTCCTCTATAGCCTTCACTTTAGCTCAATGTGTTGATGCCAATATTGCTGCACAGGAGAGAAAACCTATGGGAAAATGCATGTGTAATGACATGCGTGTGAGAAGACTGACTGGATGTGGAAAAACTGAGACATATCTTTGCACTAATTTTTTCTTATTTGTAAATGGTTATTGATAAACATTTTCAAAATGTACTTGTACTTCTTTATACTAAAAGAAAGGAAAACATGGAGGTGTTGTTAGTTATAGATTATAATGCAATGGTTTTACTGGTCTAGCCCACTGAGATCACATTGAGCTGTGTGTGGCTCATGAATTTAAATGAGTTTGACACCCATGCTCTAAAACAATCAGTTTTTCTTTTAAAATCAATGCCCGGGACATTCCAGCAGCATTTCAGCCTGTTCCAGCCAATTAGCAATATTTTTTATTATTGGCTTCTGTTTCCAACAGACTGATTTCCCACTGTCCAGGAAGCAATTTTCATTTCAGCGAGGCATTACCACCTAACAGAAAATGAATGCAGGCTTGTGAGCTGATTTTCATCCCATAATGTAATGAAGGAAACTACTGGCTGCCAGTGTTGTAGGAAATCAATTTAAGAACCTGTGGTTTGCCTCAGAAAATGGCAATTAATAATGTAAAACAGTAAATGGGCTAAAACCACTGCCCACTCAATATTACTCGATTAATATCATCACTCAGATGTCTGTCGTTCATTTCAGAGCTCTTCTACACTTCACCTAATCAGTGTTTTCCTCTATCCTTCTGTCTCAATAAGGTGACATGGCAGAAGCTGGTGAATGGCACTAAGCAGAACGTGGCGATAGCCAATCCCTCCCTGGGTGTGTCCGTGGCCCCACCCTACAGGGACCGTGTCACCTTCAAGAATGCAGCAGTGAGGCGCCGGACTCCAACTTTAGAGGACACCACCATCACCTTCTCCTCCCTCCGCCTTTCCGATGAGTCCACCTACATTTGTGAATACACCACATTCCCTGCAGGGAACCGAGAAAACACTGTAAACCTCACCGTCTATGGTAAGACACAGTGGTGACGATCTGATTCTCAGGTAAAATACAGGTTGATAGTCAGTGTCACATATAGAGGAGGATGGTAAATGTAGAGACACATAATCTGACGTTAAAGCAAACTTAAATTTCAGCTTTGTATGGATCAAACAAACAAGATATAAACTTTCAATCAGTGAGTTTGTGGTGCTTATAAGCATTTTTTTTTTTTTACCTCTGGGCAGAACCAGGCTAGCAGTTTCCCCATTTCCAGTCCACTGCCAAACCAAGATAACTGTCCTGATTCTAGCTTTATTAAAGTTAAATACATAAGAGTGGCATTGACCTTTTCATCTAACTCTAAAGCAAATAAGTTTATTTCCAAAAATGACTCACAGTCCTTTTGAGGATGACACATAGTTACAGTGGTAGTCCTCACTGATCAAGCACCATTCTCGTTTTTTAATTAAACTACTGTTTCCAAGGTCAAGAATGAACTGTCATACACAAAAAAAATTATGTACAGTTAAATGAATGCAGAAATATTTTGAATTCAAAGTTGACATGAGATTAAAAATGCCTTTTTAACACGTTCAGATCACATCCCTGGACATTTTGTGCACCTGTTCGACAATATATGCCAAAAAATTACAACAAAAACAGTTTCTTCAGTGTTGTTTTTTAAGAATTTAATAGGTATTTCACCCTTTTTGTTTTCAACTTTAAGTCCTAGTTGCATGGGATGAACATTACCTGTAGATCATAAATGATGAAGTGATATTTTGTAAAATTTCCAGGGCACCAGCTTGTTTTTAGAAAATGGTGTTGCCATGCCAATTTTGTAAAACAGAGCCTGATGGGTGATCTCAATCAGGAGACAGAAGAATGAAATAAAGATAAAGTTTAATGCAGAATATGAGTGCATATCTGAATGCAGATTATTTGTGCTGGTAAGATTCTACAAAAGTCTGTAGCACTTGGACACCGGAGGGAGATTATTTGTGATCGTGGAACATCTGAATGGCAGCAAGATAAATTCCCCCATGGAGTGTAGGAAGTGATGGAGGTGGCTGATGACAAGGTTGATGACTGATGAGGCAAAATGAGGCTGCATCCGACAAGACTAGGCGGTAATGGGGAGGTGCATGGCTGCAGCATGAAAAGACTGTGGGCAGTAAAAAACACTAATTAAAATGAGGAAAGTAAGACGATAGGCTGACAGACAAAGTGTGTCACTGTGCTATTGGTTAATTGCGAATCAGCTGTAGAAAAGCTGATGACTCGATTCACAGCCCCAGGCAATGACACCTAGAGATAGTGAGCATGTGTGCAAGGAGTGAATGGCAGGGTGAGGAAGAAAGTTACAGCCTAAGCTTAAAAAAGTAGTGTCCTCCTCACTGAACTTTGGCTAAAGCTTCATTTGTTAATTAGGTGAGTGCTATTCATATATACTGTGGTGTCAAAGTTAAAGATCTTACCTGCCAGCACCTTGATCAGGCTGTCATAAATTCAACATTATAATATATTATCATGCTTGTGTTTGTTATAATTCCCTCAGTTCGTCCAACAACTCAGATGAGTCTGTCCACGCCGACACTGGTGGCTCGATCATCTAATCTGAAGACACCGGTGGCCACTTGCATCTCTGCCAATGGAAAACCACCTGGTACAATCAGGTGTGTGTGTTAATGTGTTCCTTAGTGGATGACTTGGAGTGTTTTACAACAGCATGTTCGCTGAGCTTGTTTGGTGACGATGCCACCCTATTTGTTTAAAACCCACTGGACTATGAATCAGCCTACACTGATGTATCCTAGTGTCGTGACCATGATTCCTTGTCGATGTGAGCAGGTGGGAGACAAGGGTGCCGGGAGAAGTGTCCACCCGAGAGTACAGGAACTCAGACGGGACCTTCACTGTTCAGAGCGACTACATTTTGGTGCCCAGCAGAGAAACGCACAAGGAGACGCTGACGTGCGTCACCTCTTACAACGAGGAGGTCTTCACTGACAGTGTCACCCTCGATATTCAGTGTAAGTCATTTCCACACCAAGCAATAAGCTCATAACCACACAGGTAAAAAACTACTCCAAGCTCATTGTCTGCTATATGTATTTGTTTGTGTTGGTACCAGATGAGCCAGATGTGTCGGTGGATGGGTATGATGGAAACTGGTACCTGAACCGAGAGAACGTCCAGCTGAGCTGCCAAGCTGATGCCAACCCGGCCGTCTCTCTGTATCAGTGGAGAGTGTGAGTACAACTCTGTTAGTCTGTGTTTGACTTAAACTGACTGTCAGTGTGAGACCACCTTATTACAATGGATCAATCAGGCTGTGACGTGTCTGGCCAAATTGTGAATAATTTGGAGAGTCTATTCTCGAAAGCAACTTTCACTATTTCTTCAATTAGGTGGACAAAATGTTGATTACAGAGACTCTTAGTTTCACTACTTGTGTGCACTTGTAGTTAATGTTCATTATTTTCTGCAGGATTAACGGCACCATACCAAGCAATGCTGAGATCCAAGACAACGTCCTGACCCTGAAAGGGCCAGTCACGTATGACCTGCAAGGCACTTATGTGTGTGATGCAACCAACAGCATTGGGACACGATCGGCCTCTGTGGAGGTCAGCATTATAGGTACGTTTACCTGGAGTCTGTGGTCACTGGATTTCACACTTTCTCTACCCCCAAAGTTTCTGTGAACATGAAAAGTGTATTTATTGTTGTGTGTGTGTGTGTGTGTGTGTGTGTTTTCTCTGTAGAAAAGCCTCTACCGCAGATCGCAACAGGTGATGTTATCAGCGTAATCGCCTTATTACTGGCTGCTGGAGTGCTCATGGGCATCACCATCACAGTCCTGGTGCTCAAAATAAGAAGTAGAAAAGATGACTCCTCGTACGTAAACAGTCTGTCATTCCTCAGTTGTCCCAGCATGCTTTGTGTCCTCTTTAACCATCTCATTGTCTAACTTTTATTCTCTGTGATCAGAAATGACTCTCCATCCAGAAGACTGTCCCAACCAATAAGGAAAAGACCAGATGACATCCAGGTAACCTTTGTGTTGTGATTGTTTTTTTTATCACATGTTCATAGAGTTGTGGGTGTGCCTGTGAAGATTTAGAGGCATTTTGTAAAATTGCAGTGGCACTACCTACCTGGTATTGCTGAACTGCAACTGAGTTTAGAAGTAATGCTACTACTAGGCTGGCTGAGGCAGTAAAGCGAGATTTATACTTGTGCGTCAGCTCTGTTCAGAGCCTAGGTCGTAGCCTAGGCATGTGGGCTATGCTGTTGTGAGCATTTATACTTGTGCGGTGGTGTGTCTGTGTCCCTCTGCAATTAAAACACTAGTCGGCGGCAGGGTTTCTGTGAAGTGTTGTAAAGTTTAGTTGATTCAAAGCACACATTAAACATGGCAAAACAGCAACAATTTCAACCACAAGAACACAAATCGGCTTCACTATAACTCACAGCACTTGTCTTTTGCTGGACACATTTTCCCCACAAATACATGCTAATGTTTTTAGCACAAGACCATAGCATTTTACTTTGTGTAAATTAGCCTAGCGACAAGCAGAGATTTCCTCTGCTCGTATAAAGCCAGGATAAATCACACACGATACATTAATAAAAAGACAGGAGGTCTGCATCGCTGTGATGTGTAGTAACATTTCTGGGGACATGCATGTCAGGCTACAGCGTCAGTTCAACGCAGAAGTATACATCCCACATAAGCCGTACAATCTGACAGCAATGCAGTCACCGGGTAGCTGATAATAATAACACATAATGCTACTATTACAGAAAACAGGAGCATCTATCTATACAAATTTTATTTATCTTCACGCTTCATCATGTGTACCATCATGTGAGTGTAATTAACACTGATGAATATTGGCCTCCCGTTCACTTCCATTCAGTGCAAGCAGAGGGGTGTATAAACATTTGCTTCTGATGGAAAAGCAAATTTGCATCTTCTCACTGAGTGGAGTTCAACTTTGGTGAACTTTGACTGGTAAAGCTGCAGTCGCAAGCAATAGCAATGAAGTATGTGTGGAGGAGACACTGATAGTTGCCGTGTTTAACCAGCGGATACAGTATAATATTGGCAAACTGCCCCACATGAGAGATACTCCCTCACTGGCAGTGAGTCGGGAGAGAAGCATGGTACATGAGAAAATTGAAAATGTACCATTAACATCATATTTCTCTGAATTTATGAACAAGCTAGCTTTTCTTGTCCATTACATCAGGCACTGCCTACATTTAGCACTAATATCGCCTCAGCAGGTGATAGTCACCGGCCAGCATTCGCCCTTTTTCACATCCACTAACGCAGACCGGTCACCTGTCACATAGTGAGGAAGTTCACTCACATAACATGACGTCATTGATAGCAATAAGATCAACCCCACCCTCTCTTTGTTCCTTACTAAAAAATTTTCCTTGCAGCTTCATGAATAGCTCTCAAAAGGAAGCTCTTAGTAAGGACCTTTCAGTGCCATTTACAAGGACTCCAAGTGATAAGATCATTTGTGATTACCGCCCCAGACGATATATTTAGTACATATAGTGTGTTCTGCTGTGTTTGGTGATATTTAAGTAGCTTTAGTAAGATTTAAATATAATTTAATGTTAACCTTTTGATAATCTAAACTCCTGTCTGATATTTCAACATTTTGTGTCCTGCCAACGTATTCATATTTTTGCAAAGGTTGTGTATTTATAAAGAAAAAAATGCTCTTTAATGTCTTAAGATGCAGAGTAAATATCAAATGCTAAAGTGTTTTCAAACATTCTGGCTGATGAGACCTCTGATTAGAGCCGTGCTGCATTATGTGAGGTCACCAAACTCCTGATACTTATGGTGCGTTCCAGGCAGGCTTTTGAACTCATAAGTCACGACTTCAAGTCACAAGTTACGACTTTATAGCGTTCCAGGAAAGTTACGGCAAATTGCCAGTTACTTCCTGTTTAACGTTGAACATGGCGAACCGTATGTTTGTGTGTCCCCAATATTTCTATCGCCAAAGGTGCCTGCTCCTTGCTCATTTGAGCGAAACGGAGGAGGAAAACAGCACACAAGGTCACAGATGCTATTATACTTTTTATTTTACGTTATCTGTGTGTTTGGAAACGTATTTTGTATTGATTATTCTTGCACTGGAAACCAGCTGTTAGAGCGGCTGCCAATAATGCGTTAACATTAGGGTTATTTTATGTCTATTTCTCACCATGTATCACCTGCATCAACACCGCATCCATAGGGCTGCCATTGTTATTTAGAGGAGTAAGGTAATTGGTTTAGAGGGCTGTGTGACGTCAGAAAGCGTAACTGGGAGTACATCGATCTGGTACGAGTTCACGGGTGGTAAGTTACGGGTTTGACTGCCGTTCCAGTGCACTTTCACGGGTTGCAGGTTGTGAAAACACGAGTTACGGATTGCCTGGAACACACTATTAAAGGCCTCACAGAAAAACATTTTGACATGTCACAGTGGAAAAAGCAGTGTGGATAATAAAATCAATGATGGCTGAATTCCATTTAGCTGCTTCAGTTTCAGGATTTTGCTGTCATGCATACTGTTTTATTAGCACAGTGCCATGACTTACTAGGACACCTGATCGTTAACGTCATTAATTACACCTGTGCTTTCCCTGCTATGGCAAGTTAAAATGCAAACAAGGCCCATTGTAAGTGAACAATAAAGGTGTAAAGCACTCATTAAAACTTGACTAAACAAATACAACAAGTGCACAAATATGATCAGAGGATTTTCTTTGTCTTATATGACTACAAATAGGTTCAGAATATTAGTAACACTTGAGTATTTTTAGTGATATTTGGCTTTTTTATTGCCACTGTGAGAAATATCTACAAAAGTTTTAAAGGCACCACACACGTACACAGATGCTTCAATAGTCTGGCTGATTAGACTTCTGCTCAGGTTTTGGGTCAGTAACAGTGATAAAGATGTAATTTGTCCTGCCCTATCTAAAGAGCGAGGGAGAATCCAATCGAAGACAATCCTCACTCTGCATAACCTGTGCGTTTATCACAGCACTTGCAGCAAGATTCTCTGCAGCTCTTATTGGAGATCAGCCCTGATTTATGTAGACACACAGAACTCTCTGGCTATCGTTACTCTGTTCTTTATGTGGAAGCTCTGCACTATGTTCTGTATGAGAATGAATGTATTTAAGGGCTCAGTCATAACAGCATTTTGTAACTGCAAAATGTTTACCAAAATCACACTTACACTTTAATGTAATCATATGAATCTGTGTGATCAGAGGATTTCTTTATGGAGGTCTTTGCATTAATGTGAACTTGTGATGGCAGCCAGTTCAAAACTGTCTGAACTAAAGGTGGGTGATATGCCCAAAATCTTCTATCACTATATGTTATTTTGTGCCAAGTTAATGGTACTTCATGACACAGTAATTGTTCTGTAAATTCAATTAAGTAATGGTTTAAAATAACCTGTACTTAACCATTTTTGATTATATTTTTCTTTTATTTCGAACTTTCATTCATACAAAACCAAACTGCCTCACATGAGACGACACTTCAGATAAAACAACAGGCTCGAGACAGTAAAACTAAACTGCTTTTAAAATGAAAGCTTTAAGGTTCTGAGACCAATCATTTCTGTATTTACAACTTCATTCACCTCCTCCATGTCTGCGGAAATCACAATACCTTGCGAGGCAGCTGGATTCACAAGATGACGCAAGAATTCAAAGAATTCAAAACACCTGCTAACATGTGGCTTTTGTATGTAATGGGAAAGGTTACAATCAGCATTCAAACCAAAATGACTCTGCAGTAGTCATGGGTATTTATTGGCTGTGGCACAGGAGTGATAGTGTGAAAGAAAGACTGAAGAAGTACGAGATAAATAAAAATAAGTAACCACCATAACACTGTAACTGGCCTCCATGCTGCTTTCCACTGTTCACTAACCTATTTTCTGGTTGGCCGTGAAGTAGAACGTGACACAGAAGTTGAAAAAACAGAAAGGCATGCTTGTTTACTGCAGAGCCACGTACATGGTTCAATTTTACTGACAATAGAGTGCTCCAGTGATCTTTTCCTGTAGGCTGACGTGGAAGTTAGCATTGCTCTGGTTCCCTTGTCAAAAATCTGTGGGATTCTGTGAGAAACAAGCGTTTATGATTCTTGCATGTTTTGATCAGCAAAATAATTGTCACAAATAAACACCACTTTTATGATTATTGAAGTCTAAATGCAATTGCCATAAGAAAAAACTAACGTTAGGCTATAAACAATCTATACTAAGGTGGCGTGACTGAACATTGCCACTATAGCATGGCTGTAAAGCTATGTTTGGTGTGATGATGTTCTGTAGTTTAATTTAGTAACCCCCTTTTGTAAGACGTAAAAGTTTCAAAATTCACGCGTGGAGTAATTACTGGTGTATTTTATGTCATAGAACAAAACATAAATGTCTCTTTGGCGTGTGTTAACCACAGACCTTATCTCAGGCATCTAACCAAAAACCCATTCAAAAAAATCATTGACACCAAGACCAGGGAACTGGGAGTGGCAAAGTGCTAACTAATTTCAGGGTTTTAGGACTCATTCCTCGGGCACTCTATGAGAAAGGAGTCTCTAGCCTGTTTCTAGCCTATTTCCCGTGTTTAAAAAACCTGCATACACATGTTAATTCAGTGGAAAAAGGGTATAATTTGCTACATAGCCTGCCCCTAATAGCTCCCCTGGTAGAAACTGTATTGCCAAATCTCTTCCAGTGGACATATTTTAACTGTATATAGCGTCATATCTCCCAACCCTTGTTTTAACAATGCTGACCTTTAATATAACAGAGAGAGGCGGGCCCACACCCATGTTTTAATGAGTGGGCCCGCCTCTCTCTGTTCTCTTTGTCAGAAGGTCAGAAACTTTACAGGGTACCTTTAAGTACATACTAGATGTACTGTGTGCATGCATGTACAGTATATCCAGTACACACCAGTTGTAGAGTAGGTGTATTGTTTCTAATTCTGACACATCTTCAATATGCGTCTGTCATTTCTCCACAGCACTCGGGACGGTTTTATGAAGAGCTTCCAAACACAGCGGACTACGTGAGCTACAGACTGGCCTGTAACAAGGAGGACTACCCGGAGCCGTACTCCCCTCCCATCAAGCCTCCTCTGTCATTTCTGCCCCACCACCCCTACCACTCCTCACAACCAACCACTGCAACCAGCAGCAGCAGTGGCACCAACACGCCAAAAAACACCTTCTCTCCTCCGTCACACACCACGGCCATCTTTAAATACCCCTCGGTACCGGGCATTTCTTCTCCTCCCCCGGGAGTGGCGGCATACACTTTTCCCAAAGAGCAGTACGTCTGAATAGACATTTTGTCACAAACTCAAACCTCTCAAGCGAGCTCGGATGAAACAACCCGATATGAACTCCAACCTTTCCTCACTGGAGGCTGGGAAAATGTGGTTAACCCTGGACTAGCAGGCAGTGTCCTTACACTGCTTGCAACATTGTGTTTGGCTCTGGAGGTCAAAGGACAATGCAGCTTTTGTTGTTGGACTTGGAACTCCAATTTTGAAACATTTTTCCCTTTTGTCCGCTCTGTTATTGTGTTATCTATTCTTTGAAAAGGGAAGATTGTTGAACCGTGTTTCAGATGTTTAGCTAGAGGAAGGTCAAGTTAAAGATGATTTGACTGTCATGTTAAAACTTTATATTGCATGGATGTATTACATTTGATTGGAAAATATTCCAAACTAACTGGACAGGATTATCTCTTGATGTCCGATGTTGTTGACCCTATCTTCTATGGTATCATTTTGTAAAAAAAAAAAAAAAGGAGAAAACAAAAAATTATTTCCTGCTGTATCTCTAATGCCCACTCTCTTTATCCTGCATCATACACTAACAATCCCTTTACTGAGGAACAGCAGACCTCACCTTTTGGTTTTACCTCCTGCTCATCTGTAATACTTTTACTGTGCTTGTATTTTGTATCGTTTATGTTTTTCTCGCAAAGAAAATAATTTTAAAGCGTTTTTATTTACTGAAGACATTTTGTTGATATATGAAATTGATGTTTTTATTCGTGATATCTGTGGATTTTAGTATTCATTGACACTGGTTGTTGGATGAGCCTTGAATTTTTAGCATTTAAATAAAAATGATTATATAAACTTGTTTCAGCAGTGACTGTGAGATCGAAACTCGTGGCAGACAGAATGGCACGAGGAAAAAGAGGGTGGTTTGGTGCAGCATCAGCAGGGAGCGTTGAACTGGACCGTCATGTTGAAGAGGAAGCTGAGCTGAGGCAAAGATCTTGATTTACCGGTCCATCTATGGTCCAACCCTTTCCCTATGAGCTTTGGGTAGTGACCAAAGAATTAGATTGCAGATACAAGTGGCCAAAATGGGTCTGGCTGGGCTCAGCATAGGGTGAGGAGCTCAGACATCTGAAGGGTGCCTCCTGTTAGAGGTTTTCCGAGCAGGTCCAACTGGTAGGAGGCCCCAGGATAGACCCAGAACACACTGGGGGGACTGTATATCTCATCTGGCCTGGGAACACCTCATGATCCCCCAGGAGGAGCTGGAAAGCGTTGCTGGGGAGAGGGACGTCTGGAGTCCCTTGCTCAGCTTACTGCCCAGGTGTCTTTTAGCCACAATAGCAGCAGGGCTCTGTGCATGGCAACACTGGTCTGTTGGTCAGTTCACCATTTTTGTCCAGACTGAAACATCCCAACTATTAAATGAGTTGCCATGAAAGGTTTCATTTATCTTGTGCCGATTAGCAAATGTTAGCATGCTAACACGCTAAACTAAAATGGTGAATACAGCAACCATTATACTTGTTTAATATCTAAAGTATGCTACATGATGTTAGCACTATCGCAAAAATTAAGCATTGCAAACATTAGCATTGAGCTCCGCCTACAGCCTCACAGAACCGCCAGCATGTCTGTACACTCAGTCCTGTTGCACTAATTACTCAGGATTGTAGTTACCATATTTTGTAATCAGAAAACTGCAATCCTATTAAACATAGTCTGTGCAGCTCTGACCTAGTTATGGGGACACAGGACACAGTTCCCTACAGTAATGTTTCATGGATTTTAATAATCGTCAATGTACATGGCCTGAGGTGAACTTCCCTCTCTGCAAAGCAGCCTGGATCATCCTGTTTAAAGGGGATCATTTCCATGTCCACTTCTTCAATAAGCATAAAGATCTGATCTGATGGGGTGTCCATTAGCTCAGTGGGCAGAAGAGGCACCCCATGTACAAAGGCAATGTCCTGCAGTAGTCACAGGTTTGATTCCAGCCAATGGCCCTTTGTTGCATGTTGTCCCTTCTCTCTCCCCTTTCATATTTCTAACTGTCCTGTTATTAAAGGCCAAAAAGCCCCAAAAATAATCTTTAAAAAAAAGAAATGATCAGACCATCACACAAAATATAGCATCTCATCAAATGAGAACACAAAGAGCAAACAATCTGGGAAGAAAATCCTACTTGAATCCATTAAATAATCTTGTTGCAGTTCAATAAGAATTGTTTTTTATTTGACGCTCAAGGGGATATAAAGTAATGCAAGTTACAGACTACATAAAACACTACTGTTTGGCTACTATGTTAGGTACAGGTTTTGTTTGGACCCCAAAGCAGATACTGATGCAGGTCAGTCACAAAAAAGGTTTATTAACTAAGAAAAAACAAAAGCAGGCGGTGGAGGCAGGGAGCTGGCTGGCTTGTAGAATATTCACCGAAGGATGGATTGAAAAAAACTCAGGCACACGGTGAGGCACAAAGGACGACCTGAGTACAACAGGGAAAAAACCACAGGTAAGTACAAAAACCTCTAGCAACACTAGAAGAATAGGCAGCAAAATACGGCTATGCAGCAAGTTGAGCACAAGATACAAAATGTAAGAACACAGAGCTCTACCAAACATGACGGAATCTTTGCAGCACCAATCTAACATGCTGGACATGTTCTTGGAGAGAGCGAGAGAAAATTAAGATGTCGTCTAAATAAACAAACACAAATCTGTTGAGCATGTCACGCAGGACATAATTAATGAGAGCCTGAAAAACTGCTGGTGCATTGGTTAATCCAAAAGGCATTACAAGGTACTCAAAATGACCCAGAGGAGTGTTAAAGGCAGTCTTCCACTCATCCCCCTCCTTTATTCTCACCAGGTGGTAGGCATTGCGGAGGTCCAACTTGGAAAAAACAGTGGCCTGGTGGAGGGGACCGAAGGCTGAGTCAATGAGTGGAAGGGGATATTTGTTTTTAACAGTTATGTCATTCAAACCCCTGAAGTCAATACAGGGGCGTAGAGTCTTGTCCTTCTTATCAACAAAGAAAAACCCCGCCCCCAACGGTGAGGAAGAGGGACGAATGATTCCAGCAGCAAGGGAGTCAGTTATGTAAGTCTCCATGGCCTCCTTTTCGGGCCTGGAGAGATTATACAGTATGCTGGAAGGTAAGGGGGCGCCAGGGAGCAAGTCAATGCTACAATCATAAGGCCTGTGAGGAAGTAGAGACAAGGCAAGATCCTTGTTAAAAACCTCCTGGAGGTCGTGATACTCAACAGGGACAGAGGTGAGGTTAACAGGCTTGGGAGGAACTGGTGTGATGGTGGCAGTGGTGAGGATGGCTGAGTGTAAGCAATGTGAGTGACAAAACAGACTCCAATTGGTGATGGATGAGGTAGACCAATCTATGTGTGGATTGTGTAACTTAAGCCAAGGGAGACCTAACACTAGCAGGTAAGTGAGCGATGAAATGATGTAGAGTGAAAGAGTCTCGTGATGATTACCAGAAAGTAGCAGTGAAACTGGGGCAGTACAGTGAGTGACACGGGCGAGACGCTTTCCATCGAGGGAAAAAACGTCCTTGGGTTCAGGAAGGGGCTCTGTGGGTAAGTCAGACTGCAGAACAAAATCAAAGTCAATAAAATTGTCATCAGCACCAGAATCAACCAAGACTTGGAGAGGTAGAGAAACTTGTGACCATGACACAGTACCCTTAAGCTGAATGCGATTGGAGGGGGGAGAAACGACAGATGCATTGCTCACCAGCGCCCCCCCTGTGGCTGATGAGCCTGTTCTTTTGGCAGAGCGGGACAGTTGGCTAGGATGTGGCCAGCCTGGCCACAGTAAATGCAGAGCCTCTGGTGGAAACGGCGTTGACGCTCTGCAGGGGTGAGCCTCATCCTCCCCAGCTGCATGGGCTCCTCGCTGCTGTGAGGTGATGAGACCGTAGGCGGAGAAACACTGCAGGAAGGTGGCTCCAGAGACGCAGATGGTGCCGGCTGCCGGGGAGACTTGGGCTTCGAGAGGGGAAAAGGGAAACTCTGCCTGCCTGTTCTCTCCCTACGTCTCTCACGGAGGCGGTTATCTAAGCGAATGGCCAAAGAAATTAACTCTTCTAAGGAGGAGGTTTCATCCCGAGCAGCTAGCTCATCCTTTAACTCCTCACTTAAGCCACGAAGGAACACCCCTTGTAAGGCTTTCTCATCCCACCCGCTCTCAGCTGCAAGAATGCGGAAATCAATGGAGTAACTAGCAACAGAATCTGAGCCCTGACGTAAAGAAAGAAGCCGGTTACTGGCCTCCCTACCCTGTAGCGGATGGTCAAAAACTCTCAGCATCTCAGCAGTAAGTGACTGAAAAGACTGACTAATGGGTGAGTTACTGTTAGCCATAGCCACCGCCCAAGCTGATGCCTTCTCAATTAACAAGCTCATAATAAAAGCAATCTTAGATTTATCAGTAGAATACGTTAATGGCTGCTGATCAAACACAAGAGAACACTGGTGAAGGAACTGACGGCATGACCCTAACTCTCCTGAATACCTGACAGGTGTGGGGATGAAGGGTTCACGGGGGTGGCTGGGCTGGATGTCTGGAAGAGCTGGAGCTGGAGGAGCTGGAGGAGCTGGGGGAGCTGGGGGAGCTGGAGCTGTCAGTGTGGTGAGATGAGTGGAGACTTGGTCCATACAGCCGCCAAGCTGAGTCACACTGGTGGTAAGGTTGCGAAGAGTGTCCACAATCTCCTGTAGGGCTTGTTCGTGCTGCCCTACAAGGGCTCCTTGAGAGGATATTGCCTGCTTGATCCTCTCAATATCTGCGGGGTCCATGGTGGCCAGATAATTCTGTTAGGTACAGGTTTTGTTTGGACCCCAAAGCAGATACTGATGCAGGTCAGTCACAAAAAAGGTTTATTAACAATAAGAAAAAACAAGAGCAGGCGGTGGAGGCAGGGAGCTGGCTGGCTCGTAGAATATTCACCGAAGGATGGATTGAAAAAACTCAGGCACACGGTGAGGCACAAAGGACGACCTGAGTACAACAGGGAAAAAACCACAGGTAAGTACAAAAACCTCTAGCAACACTAGAAGAATAGGCAGCAAAATACAGCTATGCAGCAAGTTGAGCACAAGATACAAAATGTAAGAACACAGAGCTCTACCGAACATGACGGAATTATCTGGCAGCGTAGTGGAGTGAAGACCAGGCTATTGTAGACAGGAAGATGAGGTGAATGAAGACAGATGTGCCTCATCTGCTGCTACAGGAGAAACCAGCCACGCCCCCTGACACACACATGCACTGCAGAACAGAAGAAAGGGGGAAGGAGAGAGAGAACAAACACAAAAACATACCACAGGAACCAAAATCATCACATACTATTTCCAAAGGTTAAATCTAATATTAGAGCTTCAGAGCGCATTAAAGAGGCAATAATCAATTATTTTTACATCAACAATGGATCACCTGACTTGTATGTGAGAGAGGTCACTTGTAGTGATGAACCCGCAGAGAATTATCACATGACTTTAGTTTCCCTCAGCTGTATTGGTTTAGTGTCACTGGTCTTGTAATGTAATTTAGATTGCACCAGGCAGCTGTATTAAGCAAAAAAGCTCTAAAAAACCTGACTGTAAATACCTTCTCAGAATCAAACAGCTGACAGACACAGTTAGCAACCAGCTGGTGATCATGGTGGAGCATTTACAAGCTTAAGAGCCAAATATTTTTCTCAGAAGTTGCTGGAAACAAAGACAAAGGCAAGTGTGGATATAAACATGACACCCCACTGGCTTAGAACAACCTAAAGCACATTTGTTTCA